ATTAGGACCACTGTTTTTCATTCTATATATTAATGACCTTCCGAATGCCTTGCGATTAGCGGAACCATTATTATTTGCAGATGATACAAGTATTTACTACTCACATTCTGATCCACTTGTGTTAGCTACTGTCTTAAATCAAGAATTGAGTAGTATTAGCTTGTGGATGAAGGCGAATAAATTGTCAGTTAATACCAAGAAAACAAACTACGTTATTTTTAAACCAAAACAAAAGAAATTAAAAACTATTATGATACCGCTCATGTTTAATAAAAATAAGCTTACGCAAAAACGAGTGGTCAAGTTCCTTGGAGTTTTTATAGATGAAAATCTTTCATGGAAATTTCATATTGATCACATCTGCAAAAAAGTCTCAAAATCCACCGGCATAATCTATAGATCACGTTTTCTATTGTCTATGAAAACTAAATTATCCCTATATTATACCTTGATCTACCCATATCTGACCTACTGCAACGTCATTTGGTCTTCTACCTATGTCACAAATGTTAAAAGATTATTTTTAATCCAAAAACGATTGTTAGAGCTTTGACAAACGCTGACTTTACAGCACATACTGCACCACTGTTTTATCGGCTGAATCTGCTTGATATTTATAAAATTAATTTCTTATACATTGTTAAATTCATGTATTGCTATCATTATAATTTACTTCCATCTTCATTTCATAATATTTTCATTACTAGTCGTCACACGCACTCTTACAACACTAGAAATGCAAATGCATATCGACCCCATACATGTCGTACAAACATGAAGAAGTTTACTATTTTGTTCCAAGGACCCCAAACATGGAATTCCCTTCCGGAAAACATTAAAAATTCAGAGACTTTAAGTTGCTTCAGGAATAGAATGTTAAAATATCTAATATAGCCATCATTTATATTATAAAACTGGTAAATAATTTCATATGCTCTAAACGTCTGATTCCCCTTTGTGTTTATATATGTTGTGCTCATTTAAAAGGGAGCCTAAACTCCTATAAGCCTTGTGGTTTCGTCTTAGGCTTCCTTGTCACCAACATGATGACTGAACAAAATTTATTTATCGAACTATACTTATTTATATAACTTATCTATCTTATTTAAATATCTAACTATTATATAACAGTTCTATAATATTTATATATACAGTATATGCATGTAATTTACAATCTTTTTATTTTATTTTTTTTTGTAATGTTGGTGTCAAATCAAATTAAATTCATTCATTAAATTCATTCATCCTTCCCCGGCTTTCACATGACCTATTTCCGCGAAAAATTACTTATATGTGAAGCTACATATAAATACTAGGACTTTACAATCACGTGCGGGCATATTACCACCCGATAGAGTCACACATACGACAAAATAGTCCAGTTCTGGCCCCTGACCGCGCTCCTCCCACGCGGAGAAAGGTCCAGGGAAAACTGCATGCGCATGCTCTCATTAAACCAATCACAGAAAGCCAGTTCTTGCCCCGCCCAAGACGGAAATAGAATTGGACCGTGTGAATTTTACAAGTACGTACGTAAACAACGCATTACTGTACTAAATGCCAATGGAGAATATAAACGTCGTATTGACACCAAAAAAAAACTGTAAATGAAGAAATTGAAGCCTGCAAAATCTGTGGCAGTACTACACTTCCAACAAGGAGAACTGTGCTTTCGAACACAAAAGGAAAAACCAAACTAGGAAATGATTTTCAAGCTTTATACTGCGCCATTGATGTCGAGGAGATGGAGCGACGAATTCTATATAATTTGCTGCAGAAACTACAAGTCAAAGCTGGAAACGTTGATAAAGAAGATAAATGATATAAGAGATACCTTTATTCATGTAAATCAAGGCAAAATAAAGCGTCTCCATAAACCAACAGGGAAGTCACCTAATCCTAAACTTAAAAAGAGCTGCGTTTATTCTAATTCGAAAGCCAACGTCACTGCCAAAGGTGGGACAGAGAAAGTCAACCGCGTCAAGTAATCTTTAATTAATCTTTTTTTTTAATTATTTACACACGGTAGCCTATTCAGTGGATAATTATTTACAAAACTGGTTTTCAAAGGGCCGTGTATCTATCAATATACTAAGCTATGAAACACAAAATATATATAAACAAGCAAACAAAGACTATTTACAAAGTATAGGCTGTCAGTATTATTGGCATCAATTTTATACCTAATTATATAATCGCCGTTTAAACGATAAGATTGATAGTTCATTGTGATTTTCGATGGTTTCACTTGAAAGTTCGTTCCACGATTTCGCAGCTCTATACGCGAGAAGCTCCTTTTGAGGAAATTTGTCTTAGGCCACATAAAATAAATTCCTTGATTCTCATCACTACACTTTGAAAATGTCGAAGAGGCGGGAGGTTTATATTTTATATTTTATATTTATATAATTTATATATCAATAAATAAAAAGTAATTCCTAACATTTAATATTTCTGTGATTTCCAAAGCGAAGTGTCACAAACCGAAATAAACATATTTCTCCACGAACAATGACTGAACCCCAGCCTAGTCCCAGGCTCTCTCTCTCTATTCGCTGCTTTGATATATTTAAATAAGTCTTAAAAGTTTTATGCCTGGGTGTGCTGTGCGGAACGCTTCAGCGAGAGAGCCTAGCAGATTTCGGTAAAATGGTCCCTGATTTAAAAAAAGTGGTCCCTGGCCTGGTTACCAAGCATACCTCATTTGTAAATGGAAAATGTTATGGAAATTTCCTTTGTATTTATAATTAAGTCATTAGTTTTGCTCTAATGCTGTCGGAACAATGAAGTAGGCTACGTTTCGCTGCCATACGGTCAGAATGGAGTAACGGGCTAAATATGACTCGTGTTTACTAAAATATATAGCCATATTAAATGCTATCTAGAAGCTTGAAAATTATGCCGAGTCTCCGACTAAGAATGTTTTGACAACACCGTCATGTCAGGCAAATATTTCCAATCTCCTCAGCAATTTAAACCTGTCAAGTAGAAAGTGTAGTTGTGTATACCAGTATGGTCTAGTGTTGATCACAACTTGCAAGTACATAAATAACATCAATGATTGCTCAAACTCGGTATCGTAAATTTGTATAAATTTTTTTTTAGTTGAGCACATTTTTAACACAGTTTGATTTGGTTATGTAAACATCGAACATGTACATGATGAACGAACATTGTCGTATTTATAATTAAAAGGTTACTTGTATATATAAATGTTCTGCCATATTAAAAATACTGAAATCTGCTAGGCGTTCTGAAGCACCTTGAGCGGTGACGTCACACCTAGGTCCCAGTCTCGAACTACATCCACTTTTTTCTCGCGCTTGCTTCAGAACGACTGGGACTAGGCTGCCAACCACCCATGTATTTTTCTGTTTATTATATAAAGGACAGTCTTTGAAAAGCGATAATTTTTACAGAAAAGCGATAATTGAAAAGCGATAATTTTCACATGTGAGATTATCATGAATAATTTCACATGTGACTGTGAGATTATCATTTTTATCAGTGCTCGAAATCTCTATAAAACACTATACATTATAATAAAAATTCATAAATTTGAACCACGCTAGAGCATGACAACAGCAAAATGCTCTAGAGTATGATGCACAATATTTTGGGAGGTGAAATACATGAACAATAAATCAGGGAGTGTTTACTTGAAACTCACTGTGGGGGGGGGGGGGCAACACCCCTGATAATTGTTCATGAGGAATTTCAGGTAGATTAATTTCCAGTGCACTTTTAGGTAAATTTAAGTAGATTTGCAGAAGATTTTCTGGGGAATTCAGGTAATTCTCAGGACATGAGAAAGTGAATTTGCAAAATAACTGTATTTTCGGAAAAATTATTATATGTCCTGAAAATTTTTTGTGCATCTGGAAACATTTTGGTAACCCCCCCCTTCTATCTAACCTCACCCCCCCCCCCCTGAGACGAAGTGCTCGCAACGGCATTGAGTATGCATCTTTGGAAAACAGGCGAGGGGTTATTGCATGCATATATTTCTAGTTTATATAAACAAGAAAGAGCAATGGGCCAAGTGTTGACCCTTGCAGTACACCACTATGGTGGCCCATTAACGCCATAGTAGTTTTTACAAAATTATCAAGTTTTTTTAATAAAAAATATTTTAAAGTAATTTTTTTATTTTTTAAACAAATTTCTTTATTATTTTATTTTAAATTATATTTTAGTAATTTTTTTTATTATTTTTTTTATAATTTTGTTAATTTCTGTTTTTATTTGGTTTTACTTTTATTAAAAAAAACAAACATACTCCATAGCCCATTGACGCCATAGCAATATTTTATAAATAATAAAAAAAAATGCTCCATGGCCCATTGACGCCATAGCGATTGTCGTGGCCCAGAGACGCCATATACCATAAGGCCTTTCAGGATTGGTTAAGAAGTTTATTTAGATCAAGTGGAAACACTGCATGCTCAAAATCTCGCACAGAATCGATCGAAAGATTTTGCCAAAATTTACATAAAATTTCACCGTTTTAAAATATCTTTGTGTTATGTCGAAGAGAAGACCTGTTTGGGATAACTACAAAGAGAAGGTAGCGAAGAAGAGAATGCGGAAAGGGGAAGAAAAAGGAGCAACTGGTCCAAAAGGTGGGCTTGACTGTTCAGCGTTTGTCGGCGAACGTGGATTGCAAATGCCAAAAGTATTCGCGCATCGGGCCTTTGACGTTAGTTCCTTGTGAGAAAGAACTGACACTGGAAAACATCAAAGCTGCATGTAAGGTACACTTCAACACAGAATTGGAATGTGATGTGCTTGCTGGAGAATGTGGTCCTTTCTTTACCGAGTCAGGACAAATCCAGAACTAGAAAGTTTTGCACGTCCGCTTCATGGAAATTCTCGAACACCCCATGAATGAAAAGTCTCGAACACAAACAGCAAGCAAACAGCCAAGACCCCAAAGCGAGCCACCAACCGGAAACCTCCCAAAAAGCTCTTTCCAACATCCGCATTTGAGGCAAACAACATCTGTCAGTGTCAGACCATCACCATCTGTTGTGCGTTCAGTATCACTAAGTCAGATGCTGAAATTGGGCAAAGTCATCGTCCCAGATATTGATGTGGTAACTCTTCGGCTTGAAGAGTTTTGCATCTCAAGAATGGAGTAGTTGGAACCTTTTGAGGTGTCACTTTCATTGGAAAGAAAACCATTTGCCAATGGGGCATTCCATGAAGCGTTTTTGGCAAAATCCATTGCAGGTGTGCCTAAAGGAAAGTATGTCCTTAAGAAATATTTGGAGGGAGAGAAAAAAGGAATCGAGGCACTGTTTCAATCCATAGAACTCCATACACGAAAGTCGGTTCAATTAAATGCCTTAGCTCGTAATTTTGCTCAAAGTATGGCTTCCGAGGTCCAAGCTTCAGAATTTGGAGAAACATTTATTTATGGTAAGGTCTACTATTCGTCTCTAAATGGTGAGCCTGTAACCTTAGAGAATCACCTAGACGGTGTTTTTGAGAAGTTTATCAACAACACTGGAGAGGTAGGTGTGTGTGAGACCTGATGATGCTAGTGAACTAAGCCTTAAAGCTGAGACATTTGTTCACTATACATTCCAGAAATCTAACCAACAATTTATGGTCACTGATATTCAAGGTGTTAATTATTCCTTATGTGACCCCGAAATTGCAACGGCTGAGCTGGCAGACCCTGATGATCAGGCAATTCGTTTCTGCACTGGTAATTTGTCAGATACAGCAATTCAATCCTTTTTGACATGTCATGAATGCAACAGATACTGTGAGATGCTGAAACTGTCAAAGCAACAGTGAATCTTGAAGATGTACCAATTTTGATAGATCTTATGTATAATGACGTCACAATGCTCGATGCCCACAAGGAATGCTTGTCTTAATAGTCATTGCCCAGGAAAATTTTTATAGTGGCCATTTTCAATCGTTTAATTTTCCTGGGTGATGACTATTAAGACCATCATTCATCACAAGCATCAAAGCTTGTGACGTCATTATGCATACAGTTATTGCTTGTCCAATTGCTTGCACGATGGTCGGTTGCTATGCAGTTTGCTCCCGGAGTCAATTTGCGATTGTTGTTAGTTTCCGGTCTCCTAGCTGTGATTTAACGCGCGGTTAAAATACCGCGTCTTTAGCGCTCTTGTTTGCGTTTACTTTCAAACATTTTTAAAACAATACATGCCCAATGAGTACTTACTTGAACCGTTTAAAGATATCGCAGCGCAAACTAGTCACAGGACAAATGCAAAGCGGTAAATTATGATGTTATTATGGGCATGTATTTTCGCATTCCAGTCGAAGGATATCCTGCCCACAAGGACAAATTCTACCATCTAGGGGTCCCACAGTACCACACGTGTGTGCCCTACAATCCCGCTTTGAAAAACCCCCTGGATTTATAGCATTGCCAGAATTATAAGCGAAAATAGCTGAAAATTCCGCATTTTTCGTTTTATTTTTCAAATATTTTTGCTAAAACGTAAATCTGGAGACACCTCCCAAATCAAAGTTGAAGAATATCATTTATTGAAGAACTTCTAATGGTTAGCAGTAACGAAGAAAGGTGAGGAGAAAATATCCTTCGGCAAACTCATTTGCATTATTAGCGTATTCGTGACTCGCCATATTGTTGCTTCACCACCTGCTGTCTTGTCTTTCTAACTCGATAGATTATTGCTGTAAAAGTCAAACGTGTGATGGAAATAAAGGAAATCCAGCAAAATCCAACAAACAGAGACCACTAGCAGATAATTTTTGAAAAAAATCTCCATCCTTTAAGCTCAGAGAAGGCCAAGGAGATCTGTCACGCAAGTCACGCGAGGTTCATACTGTACTAAGAATAAACTGAGGTTAATTGAGCTTGGCATTGGAACCCAGCTTAATTAAGTTACTAAATAGTATAAGCTGTAGAATGGCTGCATAAAAAGGCAGTCTGATTATATAAACCGATTAACTAATAGTAGCCAACACTTACCGGCCCATTTCAGGGGTAGAATTATCTGGTGTTTATAGCCTAGATATCGTAAAATACGAAAGCAGGGTGTATACACGATACATAAAATGAGACTGATAGCTGAAACTACTGATTTATCTGCATGTATTCTTGTATTCTCATATTTGTTTACTTCGCCTCATACTGCGTGCCTTGAGTTAGCTGGTTTCTTTACTTCGATATTAAAAGCTTATCGTGTGGCTTACACAAGTTTTATTTACATTAATATAACTACAGAATACTTAGTTATAGTTTACAAAAGAAATCAGTTACACATGCGTTTATTTAAGCTATGGTCGGGGAGCCGTCTTCTTGTTAAAGGTCGATATAAAGACAACATGCCTTGGTAATCTGAGTCGTGAGAGTAGCAGACGTACTATATGACCCTCACGCGAAAACCATCATGAAAAGCGCTTGGAATTGTAACTAAATGATAAAATTAAGTGTGCGCAAAGACATGAAATCTGTTTCTGGAAAAGCTGCGTATCTTAAGGAATTTAAATCACTGGTATATACTGTAATACTATTATTTTATGTCGCTACGGATCAGTTGCGCAGCCGATTATAAACTGTAGTAATTTGGCAGGCATAGATGAGTGCACTGTAGCTAAATATACTCTATATATTGTCATCTATACAATGGAAGTATGTGTTTATATATCTCAAAATACATCATACACAAATATAAAATGAAAGCGTTTTATAATAGAACATATTCATCAAACAAATTCTTGCGTGAACAGAACTATAGTATAACTGAGTCAATATGTTTCTCAGTCGGTATATTAGATATATACACTGTATTAGTACTAAGTAGCATCAGATAATTTTCCCCAAATTACCTACACATACTGCTGAAGAAACACGAATTTAGGCGAAAAGAGGAACAGTTTGTACACTGGTTTGCGTTCCGTAATATGAAAGATAAACTATTATACAGGAGGCGAATTTGATATATCGTCTAGAGCTATTCGACGGCAGTCCCTAAGTAATAGATCCGATAAACCAGTTAAAATATACCAAAAAAATTGTTCTAACAGTAAGAAATTTAAAGCTGGCCAAATACATGCATGACCTTTCTGATCATAAAATAACACTACGCCATTTCGCCTTCACACCAACACCGCTGGAAAAAACGAAGCCCGCACTTCCGGGAGCAAAACGCATAGCAACCGACCATCGTGTTGTCTAACCACTTTATTCTAGACTTTTAGTTATTGATTACCATACTGTAGAGTATATAAACATTTTGTCTTATAAGTGGACATTGTTCCCATTCTGGGGAAAACTTTATAAACAAAGTTTCATATTTTATTCTGACATTAATTAATAGATCAAACTTGTCCAAATGTGATCTTTTAAATATAAATATGCATTCGAAGCCTGGGCTGGCTCAATGTCCTCTGTATTTGGGATGTGTCTTTGGCATTCCTGGCAAAAATCATCATCTAAAAAGTCATCATTAGCATCCAGTACATGAGAAAACTCAGCCACTTCTTGTAATTGATCATCGGTTACGGGAATACCACACTTTTCCCCACCATGTTGCTCTGGGCATGTGTATATATGTTCTGGCACACCAGTAGGAAGCTCCTTGTCTTTTTGTTTTCTCACTCTATGATTATTCCACACAGATACCCTGAACACATCAAGTTCCTTTTGTACCACAGGAATATAGATATATGCTAGCATGTTTCTGCAAATTAACAGGGTTTCAGTGATAAGTAATTTGCTTTAGTCAAGTGAATGATAATTCAACGATTGTGTGTCCTACAATCATATTTCGATCAATACAGAGTTAAAATTAGTCCAGAATACACACACACACACACAATGGAATCATCTTGGACTTAGTTGAATTTGTAATGACATGAAGGGGTGGTGCTGTAGTGCACATACATGTGTGTATGACCTTGAGTACGGCCAAATCGATGACACAAGCTTGCTCTTCAGGTTGTATTTTAATAAAGTAAAACTACATGATGATCATTCATGCACATGCACTCATACATGATAATTTACTCTGGTCTCTCATACAGGGTCTTAGCTAGGATTTTAGATCTTGGGCATGTTTCTAATGACCAGGGCGTGTACATGTCAATTACCTTGAATAGCAAAATCACAGTTCTAGTTATGCTCGCCAACAATAATGCTTGTGGTTGTTCTTTGCTGATTTGCAACCAAATACAAGGCGAGCATACACTCATACTTCGCACTGACATTAAAATATTAAGTTATTTCAGCAACTCTTGGGGGTATTTAAAACCATTTTAACACCATACAGTTCCCATTATCCATCAAAATATTAAAACATTACGAATCACTTTTGCCAATTCAACAACAACAGTAGATTATACAAACTTTCTTACGACGTAATAGGAAGAAATTGAGTCTGAAATTCTGTCTGTTGTAAGTGGCACGACCTTATTTTATAAACCTACACGGCCTTATATAAATAATGAAGCTGCGTTCATTTTATCTAGCCGTGTTTTTCCGGTTTCGGCCGCGATAACACGGCCAACACGGCCCTCTAGCTAAGACCCTGCTCTCATATCATTGTGCTTTAAAAATTGCAATATTTGATGAATATAGCTGCATTAACCAGTAAACCAAATGCATTCTTGTCCGAAAAGTATACCTGTCAGTTTCATTGCTTGGGTCATATACCCACTTCAAGCAAACATTTTAATTGATCCTTGAAGTAGCCTTCCATTCTGTGTGACAGCTCACTCCACCATCTCTCAATTTTGTTTTTGGTGGAAGGTGCATATAGAACACAGCCATCTCCATTCTCCACATCACCATGTTGTGCTCGTAAATAACTGTGGATAGTACACATCACACCAGTTTCTGTTCCTCTATCCACACATATTCTTCCAGACTGGAAAGTTTGTATTGCGCAACCGAGATCTCTGGTGCGCAATTTCGGACAAGACGCGCAGATTTTGGAAATGCTCCAAAGAAACGCGCACTTTCGAAATCAGCTGCGCTTTCCGCGCTTCTGAAAAGTTATTGCGCAATATTGCAAGCTCAAACGCGCACTTGGAATACGAGGAAAGCGAGAACGCGCGCGTAAAAACGCGAGCGTAAGAAAATGCGCACTGGGAAGTGAGAGAAGCGCGCGCGAATGAGAAGCTTTACACGCGAATATCTATGCGCGAAATGGAAGTTGAGATGCGCATCGCGCGACACAAGATGGCTTGGCAGCGAGGCAAACAATGAAAAACATCTTTAATTATTAACTTCCGATTCGACTTACTTAGCTATAAACAGACACATACGTTTGCGGTTGAGAAATTTGATCTAGTGACAGGTTTTCAAAGCAACTATCGTTTACTCGACACTCGTTTGACGTTTCGTTCTGCACTTCTGTGGAATATTTTTGCTGTGAAAAATTTTCAGGGGAGTTTTCAAAGTTCAATTGTGTGAAGTAAGTATATATTATGTGTTTATCAGTGTATGCAAATGTAGTATTAATTGTTCTATTCGCGTTTATGGAAATTGGTGTGGTGAATTCAAGTTATTCAATGATAAAATCACTTTAAAGCAGCCTCGTGCGTCTGGCGTGCTGCCACAACGGTCGGTTGTTTAATTAAACTTTAAGGCACTTTTAATCTGAAATTTCAAGGCTACATGAAGTCCTTTTTCCCTTTAATACCCTTCTATCACTGGGGTATTTCGACGGAGACACTGGCAATGTAAACGCTGTGAAATGTATCACAACAAAATTTTAATTTGCGAGCCAAGTCACGCAGTCGGCCAACCGGCAACCGCCACCGGCGCATGTTGCGGCCATAGCCCATAG